GAGCGCCACCGCGCTTCCCAAGCGGCACACTATAGCAGTGCGCCACCGGGCCGGCCCCTAATTTGCTATTTCTATAATTTAGGCAAAGGTTTCCCCTTCCCATCAGATGACAGCAAGAGACATGGCTCTGGCAAAATTTTAGATCTGGGTGGCTGATATCTATGACTAAATTCTTTTTTTTTTCCTTTTTATCGTGACCGGCAATGGATCACAACACTCAGTGTCGCACCCGTACTGGACCGGGACCAGCAATGGGATCGCAACCCTCGGTGTCGCGCCCGCACCTCGCTCAGCCAGCGAGCGGCCGGTCTGTACGTGGGATCCAAACCCTCAGCGGGAGCGCCACAGCGCTCCCAAGCAGTGCACTGTAGCAGTGCGCCACCGGGCAGGCCCTATGACTAAATTCTTGACCGAGAATAACAGAATGTATATCCTGCTCTCATGTTCTTCCCACTCACATTAAGCATCCCAAGGAGGAATCCAGTAATCCACTAGGACAATGCTTCACAAACTTCAGTGTGCAGACAAATCACCTGGAGATCTTGTTAAAGGCAGATTTCAAGTCAGCAGGTCCTGGAGGACCTGAATTTCTGCATTTCTAACAAGCTCCCAGGGGATGCTGATACTGCTGGTCGACGGATCACACTTTGGGGACGAAGGACTAAGGAGAGAAGAGAAGCAGAGAGAAGGCAGGTCTCAAACTATTACTGTAAAACTAGTAAGTGTTGATGGCATGGATGGGGGGGTGGGGTGGTACATGGTGACCAAGGCAGTAAATGGCTAATAGTCTCTCCTCTCCTCCCAAGCCTCCTGGAGATACACATTAGGACACCGAATGGAACATTTCATAGGAACCATAAAGGGATTTACAAGTTGGAAGGTGGTGGAAGCCAGCATGGTTTCTGCTAATATAAGTGGGATTTTTTTCCTTTTACCTGTTCTAATTGGTTAATGCTGATGTACATGTGTCTATTGGTTTTTGCTTTGCAGATTGTATCTCTGGTTACCTTGCTGAACCCTCTTATTAATTCAAAGAGTTTTTCAGTGTATTGTTTTGGCATCAGGCTAGACAATCAATATATACAAATAATGAGACTAGGGCCTTGTCCTTTCCAGTGTTCATGGTACTTGTTTAGTTTTCTTTCTTATTGCATGATCCAGGGTTTCCAGTGCAATGTTGAATGCTGTCTTGCTGAGACTACATGGTTAAGGCATTTTGAAAATGTTTAGGTCCTTTGTGTTCCAATGCCTATTCCTTTCTGGAGTGAGCTCTCTCTGTCTCCTTTCATTATGGGTTTTGAAGTCCCTCTGCTTAAGGGATGTCTTTGATTTCAGAGAAATGAGAAGGGCAAGGGTAGGACTCAAAAGGGGTACAAAGACCAGGCAGAATGTTTTCCAGGTTTGACAAATCTTGTTCAAGGGGATATTTAAATTTTTGTCTAGTCCTTCCAGTTGAGTTCACTAGGATAGAAAAGAGATTCAGGGTACACAGTTTGGTTCAAAATAAAGGCTGTACATATAGTTCCTTGGACTGTCTTATAGTCTATGATGTAAAGAAATCCAGAATCATACTGATTCCATCAGTCCCATCCAATAAGTACTTTCTTGCTGTTAATGAGAAGCCAAATAGAAGGAAACATAAAAAAGAAATGAATACTAGTATCTACTGTAATAGTGATGGATTAAATCTTGACAAATAAGTATTTTACAAAAGAATTTGGATGGCAGAGCAAGAAAGTATGGGTAATTGTATTTTTAAAAATGAATACTAGTATCTACTGTAATAGTGATGGATTAAATCTTGACAAATAAGTATTTTACGAAAGAATTTGGATGGCAGAGCAAGAAAGTATGGGTAATTGTATTTTTAAAAAAATTAAATGTCATGTCTTAGACTAATAAGAATTATAAGAGTGACTTTTGGGTAGGCCAACAAAAACAGCCCATAAAAGGAAATGCATCAGATAATATGTATGAACGCACTATCTATCCTCAGGACTTAAGAATTGTTTCTTTCTTTGAACAGTGCAATGCAGAATTAAGGTCTCAGTAATGTTTAATAGATGGCGAGGTGCCAGCTTCATTCCAAAGCACATGAGAGGCCTTATTTTAGAAAGTGCCATATTGAGCATGTGGTAGACTTTCTCCTCTTCACTAAACTGTCTTCTCTCCTTAGTTGGAAGCAGAATTCCTGCCCATCACACCAAACTTAAGATGATTGATGAACCAAAGTGCATGAAGAAGCTGAGGGAAATTAAACAAAACAAAAAACAAAGGATAGAAGAGAGGGAAGGGGTTAGGGAAACAAACAAAGCAAGGCGCCTTAACTTCTGAGCAAGGGTGGCGTAAGAATGTGGATAATATCTGGGTAAAGATTATGAACACAGTATCTGCGTGACTAAAAACTACCAGAGTGGAAAAACTTGAAATGTTGTCAAGTAAAATAAATATCGTACTGTACTGAAAGGATTATTTAAAAGCGGAGGCAACTGTGTGGATATATGACGTACCTTCCCTTTCTAGCATTAGGGCACTTAGACTTTAGTTAACATAGTTTCCAAAGTGCAACCCTATGAATTGGAAGCCACTTTTCCTCACAAGGAAAGAGAAGAGAAGACCTTTGCAAAGATGTGGTTTGCATCCAGTAAGTGGCAAATAACAGTCTGCATGTTGTCTTTTCTTAAGACAATACCTTTTGTCTGGCATGGTGCTGTCTTTTCTAAAATTTTCTCTTTATATGGTATAGTGATAAACTTACATTATTTTGAAACAAAAATATATGGTTCATCCCTCACTTAAATTCTTATTATTGGGTTCAAAAAAAGAGCAAATTTTCCTTTTTAGATCAACAAGAGCCTTAATGGATTTCACTGAAGAGAAAATACTTTTTTTGTTCATGTAAAGAAAAAAGAAGTGCATCTTAGTTGTAATAATAGTTGCAATCTCTACTTGTTCTAAAATATTTTTCTCTTGTGCTTAACCAAATTTTGTTTGGGTTGTTAAGTAAATTCTAAAATTACCTCTGAGCTTGTTATAAAAATAAAGATAAAAAATTAACCTGCAATCCAATTGGCCTAATACTCACTATATTTTCACCCAGGATCTCAAGTGTTTTGCCTGTTGTCAAAACATTCTATTTGAACCTACATTTTTCTTTTACATGCAATCCATTAAAAGACAAAAATAAAGCTTTCCAGTCCATGCAAAGGTATGAGATAAAGTTAGCAATGGAGAATCTAACTACAGCATGGCAAACTCAATCCATTCTCTTTCTATTTAATGAGATCAATAGAAAAAAAAATATCTTAAATACCATCTTGCAAAAACATAGAGACATTTAATTAAATGAATATATTATAAAATTCACACATACACACAGAACCAGAGCTACACATCACAGCAAGAAACCAACATAAAATAGTGTGCAAAGCCAATGCATAGGAAGCACATGGACACACGGGGCAGCAGCTGATTTTTGCACCTGGTAAAGCCATAATGGAAAGATCAGCAGGTCAGAAGCAAAGTGACTAAAGGCGTATGATCTGGACATGCAATGAGGACACTGGAGGAGGTAAGCCACTGCACACAGACTTTATGGAGTTAATGTATGAAAAAGCTTACTTCATTTAGAAAGCTCACTAATTGGTCTACCGTTAAATAATCAGTTTTGTCTCCATTGCTGAAAAGAAATTTATTAGAAAAAGTAAGTTTTTGTATATGATACTATAGTAGGTACGATTTACATGTTGACATTTGCTGATGATAATTCTAAACTTATTTTCTAACCCTGAAATAGTGGTGAATTCTTAAAATGGCCAGAGACTGTTTGTAAGGGTAAAAAAACCCAACAACAACAAAGGAAAGAAAACACTCCTGCTAGGTCACAGAAAACATCTACAATTCTACTTTAGCATCATCGAAAGACGTTATTTCAAAAACAACATGTAAGTCATCCATTTGTAATAACTGGAATGAATGAACTTTTCAACAACATATTAACATTCCAAACTGAATCTAGTTAGTTCACATAATGGGTTAATACCTAAAGGAGCAGGTTAAAATTGTAGGTAGTTAGTAAAGCCAATGCAAGGGGGGAAAAGTTCCAGGTGCTGCAACTAACTTACGTAAAAGTTTCTCAAAAACTGAGTGAACTTTTACACTGATAAACTAAGGGGTGAAAATGTAATGCTGACTAGATATTCCTAGATACTACCAACATACTATATTAAAATATTATGACAAAACTGCTTTAAAAATCTAAAAGGACAATAATATTTATATGATACTTTCTCATAAATAAAACTTACATTTTTTTAAAAAGATCTTCTATGTCCGTTCGGGGACAAATCTTTTGTGTCAGTTCATAGAACTTTTCATAAGTAAATGCTGCAGGCTCAATTTCATCATTCTGTGAAGAATAAAAGAGTGTCATTGATTGATATCATAGCACTGTTTTCTTCTGTGGAGGGTGAGATCTACAGGGTCATGAAGCAAGGTCATGATCACTTGGAATCCCAGGGCCTCCGTCTCTAATTCTTGCTGATAGAAGCCAGGAGGCCACCTTCCAGGCACGGCCAGGCTATCCTGCTAGAACACAGCACAGGTAAATGAGCATTTCTAGTTCTCATGCAGCCATGGTTCATGTGTACAAACATTTGGCTAAAGCTGAGCTTCTCTGGGAAACACCCCAAAGGACAAACAGAGAAACATTTCCTCTATCTCTCTTTGAGGGAGAAAAGTAAGTGATAAGAGTTTAGATATGTTGTCCTCCAAAGCTCATGTCAAAATCCAATCCCCAACATGGCACTACTGGAAGCTGTTCAGGTCTTGGGCAGGCAGATTCCCCATGAATAGATTAACGCCCTCTGGGGCGGGGGTGGGGGGCTGGTGGGGACTCTATGAGTTCCTGTGAGAACTGATTGTTTAAAGGAACATGACACCTCCCCTTTCTCTCTCTTGCTTCCTCTGGCCATATTATCTGCTTTTACCTGCAGGTTGGTCTTCCGTTTTTATGCCATGAGTAGAAGGAGCCTGAGGCCCATGCCAGATGCAGCTGTCCCAGAATCATGAGCCAAATAAACCCCTTTTCTTTATAAATTACCCAGTTTCACATATTCTTATAGCAACACAAAAACGGACTCATAAAGTAAGTGCCTGCCTAAAGGACGTGGAATAAATCAAGCCCAATGTTTATGATTATTTTGTGAATTTCCACAAGACCACATAAAGGGGCTTAGGATGTCCATATAAGATTTTGTTTTTCATACTGAAATTTATATTTCAAATAGGACTTGTTAAAGCAGGTACAGGCTTAAATCTTTCTTGCAGTCAACACATCAATTTTCATTGTTTTAAATCTGAAGGGCAAATGAACACAAATGTTCTGGGGAGAGAAGATTCATAAAATATTGCACAGGCATCTTAAAGAATTAAATTTATTAGTTAATTATTCGTGCTGACATTGTGCTTGGCTGGGGAACTGTTGACAGACTTCTCTAAGATAAGCTCCCTAAGCTCTGTAAAAGAGCAGCCTGGCTTTCATTTCCTTTTCTAGATAAAGTTGACAAAAATCATTTTGAAGTGAATTATTTGAATTTTAAAACACTTGGGTTAAAATGCCCAGAAAACAAAAGGAAGAAAGGAAGGAGAATGAACAGAAAATTAACTGTACTATCTGTCACTGAATCTAATTCTGAATCTAATTGAGATCAGTTTAAAATCAATAATCTAGTTTATTACATATGAAACCATAAATCAACAAAAGGGTTTTAGAAACACATGATTAAGTTAATGGATACCTTTCCACTGGGAAGACCTAATTCCTTGAGTGCTTGAAAGATCACCTTTTCTGTTTTCCCCGATGCAAAGGTTCTGGTAATGCTAGGGCCGAAAGGAAACAAAGAAAAATTCAAGTTATTGTCCAATCTGTTTTCTCTGCCACAAAGACCAAAGTAATATTGGGGATGGTGGGACTAGGGGAAAGAAGAAGAAAGGAGAATAAAATTAATTTTCATTTGTAGGTGTTTTTTTATTTTCCAAACTAGCTCCTCCAATGACCTTCTGGTTACCAGAGCTGGTTATGCTAGTGATTCTACTTGATTCTAAGACAAGTGGTTCCCTTCGGTGCTCTGAAAACAAGGGAATCTGTGGGGGGTGGAGGGAGGGAGATAAATGCTGTTAGACAAAAGCAATGATACATTTTGGTCCTACCAAATTACTTCCTTAGGAGAAAGGAATGTGGCAGGTGGGACAGTTGCTCTAGCATAAAACCTCATATTGACTCTATCAAGGCCTGGGGTAAATTAGGAGACCTGCAGAACTCAGCCCATGCCTGGGACTGCCCTTAATCTGGCTTTCACAATTCCTACAGTTGACATACCTTATCAGACAGGTTTTGTTTTTGCTTTCAAGGTAAGCACACTTGAGCCACTATGAAAAGTCAGCTGCTTCAATGATTAGGGACTTTATTATGAAAGTGGTAGGTTGGGTGGGGGGGGGTCAGGGGTAAAATTATCCAATGTTTCAACAGGATCTTGGCACTACTCTGAGACATGGTATTTTTGAAATGCCTTTTAACTGGTATGGGGAGCATCAAGGCCAGTCAAATGGATAACACCTATTAATAAGCATGTTTCCTGGTGTTCATAAAAGTAGGAAGGAGAGACTCCCCGTACAAATGCGTTGGTGACACTCAACATGAAAGCTATCTAGGAGAGGACTGAGTACCCTGGAACCCCATACTTGGCTCTCAGCCATGCCTTAGCCACCAAAGGAGACTTCATTCACTCCCTGATTGGAAGCCCAGATAATTTGTTGCCATGATAATTTAAACTATAAATCCAGAAGTCCGGCTTTGACTTGAAGATAGAGCTTACTTTTGTCTTTTGGCTTTGGAATACCTCCTCTGTAAGCACCAGATGATTTTTAACACCATCTCATGCCCGATCTTTTCATATATTCTGCCATTCCTGTTAAGTGGAAGGCAAGCTCCCAGTGTAAGCACTGACAGCCAGTTAATCTTGAGGAGTGGGAAAAAGCTCCACTACAGCTACAGAGTATGAATTCCCAAAATATTTTGGGAAGAAGGAACTTTAGGTAAATGAATTATTATGTGTTCATTCAAAGCTTTATTGTTTCGTGCTAAGTCCAAGAATACTTCAATAAGTACATTTTTAAGAGTTCATGAGATAATTGTATTCGAATACAAGGAGGCCTGTGAATTCTCTTTAACAAATTTTACAGCATGGCAGAGGACAAGTGTATGATGTCATGTAAACTGGTTAACAGGTTTCTAGTAGAGAAAGTGCTATGTCTTTATTTTCTCACTTCTCAAGAGTCCATGCACTTTTATACATTGAATTTGGATGAAATACAATTTATCTGATCTTTTTAATTTAGGGGAAAATAGCTATTCAGTGTGTCTTTTTTTTTTTTTAAAGTGTGTCTTAACATGAGAACTACAGACCCTGGGAGGATATGGGATATCTGGCATCTGTAAACAGGAGGAAAATCTTTGCATAGTGATCTCAGAGGTATCCCAGTTAACTCAAGCCGCTGTTAGGTTTGGACAGGCCTGGCATAATGGGATGAAAACTGATGGACATGTTCATAAATACAGCAGGTATGGAGCCTGAGCCCTTCTGGTGAAACAGTAAGAAGGGAAGAATGTATAGGAATAGAATCTTTTGGATAGGTCTTGGCCAAGCGCAAAAAATAGGAATTAGAACCAGAATGTCTCAAGAGGCAGAGAGAGGGGAGTCGTATCTATTCTCCATCAACTCTAACAAACTACCCCCAAATCATAGATGTCTTGTTTCAAACACCTGTTAATACTTGCAAGCACCAAAGAGTTCAGGTCAAAGGGAACTAAAGATGACAAAATATCTAGGCTATTTCTATAAAAAAAAGCTGGCAGTACTTTTGTATGCGAACATGCTGGATAAAGACCACTGGAATCAGAAAAGGCTTTGAAGGCTGTATGACAATGTGTCGATTAGTGGGATCCATACAAATGAAGCCAGAACTGTTAGGTAGAAGTGCCTGGATCACAATCTATGTGCTTCTACTTTGTCTATTCCCTGGATCTTAATCTTAGTAGCAAAAGCAGGACAATAAGGCATGTAAAAACAGGTCCAATTTACATTTCTGTTCTTCACACTGCTATCTGTGCTCTCCAAAGTTTGCATTTTTTACTTCAATACTGATTTTAAATAAAAATGCACTGTATATTTAGCCATGACTGTAGAATGCAGAGATATATTAAAATAATCATCCTGCTATTGCTTAACTGAGCAAAGGTTTTGAATAAAATAAGGATCAGTGTAAAGTGTCTTTGCCAACAATCATCAGTCAAGGGTGCTAACAGGGGTTTTTTGAACTTCTAAAGTAGGTGTAAAATTGACCTGCTACTAAGTTATTAAATAAAAGCAGAGAATCCTGTACATAGATTTGTAAAGACCACAACAAATGCCTGAGGCCTATGACCTGGTAAGTCCCCAATACAAGGTTAAGTAAAAAGAATACTGCCCAAGGTCATCTTCTATGCTTATGGTTTCTCATGAATATTTCAGTCATGCCACCTGGGTACTTAGTTCATGATTCTCAGAATATATGGAATTAGGAAAAGTAATGACTTCTAGGACAACTATGTTAAATGTGAAAAGAGAAATGTCCAGGGAGTAAGAAGATACTCTCATAAGGATGCAGAATGGAAGCTTCAGAGCAGAATAAAGGCACTAGGCAGGGAGAGAGGCAAAGAAAATTCAGAAATGGCCAAGAGTGACCAGGATGCCACTGCCCAAGTGCAACTACCCAGGGGCATGCACTTGGTGACCTGTTTGCCTCATCTCTGAAGGATAGATCAGTTCTAAGACAGGATTCTACCCAGCAGTTCTGGGGTTTTTTGTTGTTCTTTATCAGTTTGCTTCTTTGCTAAAGTGGCATCCAGAGAAGACACAGACATGAACTTGAGTCTGGAGAAGCCTAAAAGAATGAGTAGGCATCTGGGGAACCCACGTGTGATTCAGATTGTGGGCTTAGTTTCATGCACCCTAATACACTCCTGGTTTTAGGTAGATGGCAGATGCTCTGCGGTCCAGCCCAGCTTCTGGAATTTCCATAAATGTTTACACAAACACCAACCAAAAAGATCCTGGAAGTTGGTAAGAGTAACCATCACTACTATGGCAAGTTTCCAGCTGTACCTACAGACCATTAGCAAACCCTAAAATCTGAAAGAGAGTAAGGGACGCATGAGAAATCCTCAGAGGGTGAAATCTGTCATCACAAGCATTAAAGAACACATGTGGAGGATGTATCTGGTTCTTCTTCCCTTCATTCTTGATTCCACCAAAGCCTTACTCCTTTTTTGTTTTCTTTGTCACTGTTATCTGGGGCAGGGCAAGGGAGGAAGAGGTGGCTCTGAAGAATGGTAGTGTCAGTTACAGTACACCTAGAGAGTAGGCAGCAAGGAGCCAGAGAAGGAGCCCCATTGCCCTGAGCACCAGAGCAGCAAAGCCCAGAACGAGAACACACTGTCCAGAGGCACTTTCCAAGACACAGTCCACACACATCCATATTAGTACACAATATAAACTTCTTCACGCTCAGCTAGTAGTTGCTCAGGGTAAGCAGGTAAAAGAAATTTAAATCCTAAGAACCCACTTATTTGAATATTTTTTTTATCCAGAGGCACTTTCCAAGACACAGTCCACACACATCCATATTAGTACACAATATAAACTTCACGCTCAGCTAGTAGTTGCTCAGGGTAAGCAGGTAAAAGAAATTTAAATCCTAAGAACCCACTTATTTGAATATTTTTTTTTAAATAATGCTATATTTTCAGATATTCCTTAATTTATCAAATGCTTCCTACTCTGAGGAAAAATGCAGATTTACTTCCATAAGTGATTTTTATGAATCAAATACAGGGGCCGACCCCGTGGCGCACTCGGGAAGAGTGCGGCACTGGGAGCGCAGCAGCGCTCCCGCTGCGGGTTCGAATCCTATATAGGGATGGCCCCGGTGCGCTCACTGGCTGAGCGCAGTGCGGCCCTTCACAAAAAAGGACAAAAAAAAAAAAAGAGAGAGAAACAAATACAGTATTTGACAAAGTAATTCAAACTAAGCTTCTGGAAATATCTTTAAGACAACACACAAGTACTCATGAAGAGCTCTCTCTTTGGTTTGTGTCATGAGGGTTGATGCAGGGCATGGATGGCAGACAGAAATGATTTACTTACCTCCTAACTGGGATTTTACCATTTGTGTTGGTCATAAACGCCAATTTCATCCAGCTGGAAAACAATAGCAACAGCATTGTTTTAATGTTTCTTAGAAACAGCTTCAATTCCGTTACGTACTTTAAAAGAAAGTTAATCCAAACAAAGAACATTTATTCTGAAAGTCAGAGACAATTATGTACTATTAGATGAATCCAGAGTTGTCAGACTTAGCAAATAAAAATATATAACTCTCAGACAAATCTGAATTTCCTATGAAGAACAGATAATTTCTTACTGTAAGTATTCTAAATATTGCATAGGACATACTTAATACTAAAATATTGTTACTTATCTGAAATTCAAATTTAACTAAGAGTCCTATGTGTTATCTGGCAATCCTAGATGAATTAAAAATTGGGTGCTTGCATTGAGCAAAACACATCATCAGTACTTATTTGTGATTGGTCCTGCTTTCGATTATTGCTCCTTAATAATATATGACAGTGACAGAAAATGAAACTGCACAGTGACACCAGCCAGCATTGTCTTGAGGACCTATGAGGACTCATCACTCCCAGCTCCCATGCTGCAAAGTACAGGTCACATGGGCACCTTCCTTCATTTCCAATGGTAAGAGAAGTTCATCAACTCAAATGGATGGTGAGCAATTCCTTATGTTCCCCAGGATTTCAGAGTACATGGGACTCAGAACACTTATCTGTACTTTGGAGGTAGGACTGCCCTTAGTTAATGACTCCCATTCTCATTGTTTGCAGTCAATAATATCCTAACAGCGCAAAGAACATGATGATTTGGTAAAGTTTCTGTCTTAAGTCAAGGTTCCTAGAAGCACAAGTGACTACTTATTAAGGGGATGTCTTCAGGATACAGGGAGTGAGGAAAGTGGATTGGGCAGGGAAATCATTAAGTAAAGTTGTGGTCTTGGCTGAAGCTTTAACCTGATGTCATGTGATCGTCACCAGGCTTGGTGGCAATAGCGCTGGCCTTTTGTACTCTGTTTCAGCCCATCATTGGCTGTGGGCTTCCCCCCATAAGGTAGGAGGAGTATAATCTCCCAGGCACGGAGGTTCCCCTTCAGTAGAGGACAGTTCTCTGGAGAAGCTGGCAGGTCTGGGACCTTGGTGAGGCCACCCTCACAGCAGCAGGTGGCTGGGTGAACACCATGAGGTCTGGTATCCAGATACAGGTATTTGGGTCACTCAGGTATAAGCAAGCATTCTCAAAGTCTTGGATACTTTGGGACTATCAGTGCCTGAAGTAATGCCATTAAAATATCTACTGGAGTTCTCTTTAAGACATGCCACAACAACTGCAGAGGAAAAGGAAAAGCAGCTGCATAACAAACAGGAATACACAAGACTAAATAATTTTCCTCCACTAAGCACAGTAATAGAAAACTAGAGGGATACCATAAAAATTAAGATAACTAGTACTGAATGAAGAATGACTGGGAGCCAGGCACTGGGCTAGGTGCTTTCCAATTTCATCTGCATTGTAGTTTTGATTGACAGATGAGGACAGTGAGGCACAAGGCTAAGCATTTGCTGAGGGTCATCCAATGCAACAACTACTAAGTGATGAAGCTGGGACTTGGAATCCAGAGCCCACACTCTTCAGTACCTGCCAAATTGACCAGGAGGCAAGGAACAAAAGTGCCTAAAGGACTGACCTCTTGGCCACAAGTCATCCACTCTTGGTGCTAGGCCTGTATTTGAGAACTGCAGGCTTATCCTGCAGTGTCTCCATGTGGCCTGTTGGCACCTCGGAACTGCCTCCCGATGGCCCTGTGAAGGCAGGAAGCCTCATGCCTTCAAGGATCACTGCTTTTCACATAGGCTGATGTTTGACTTTGACTAGGATTTCTACTTGGATAACTTTCAAGTCACCTTGAAAAGTTAACTTGGGCAGGATTAAGTGGGAGGGGTAGTTAGAAATCAGTTAATGGGCACAAAATAAGTAGTCAGGAAAAATAAGTTCTGTTGTGCAGTTGAGCTAGGCACCTATAATTAACATCAATTTACTGTGTGTTATCAAATGGCTAGAAGAGAAGAAATCAAATGTCCTCATCACAAAAAGATGATTAAGTTTTGTAATGATGAATATGCTGGTTATCCTGATTTGACCATCACATGTTATTTACAGGTATTGATATTTGACACAAATATGCATAATCAATTATGTTTCAATTAAAAAAAAATCTACTACTGTAGTAACCCTCTGGATTTTAGATACAGTGAGCTAGGGTAAGGCCTACTTTCTGAATTTCTTAACCTTTGGATCTTTGATTAAATCCTTGATTGACTGAATCCTTGACTGATTGAATTTTAGAAAGAAATTCAGAAATACCTTTGGATCCCTGACTGTGTGCTAAACAGGGAACACTATATCTGGGGCCAGTGCTTCCTTTCTAACCCTAGCAATGGGTGCTGCTGCAAGCGCTTCTCCTGGCCAGGCTCCCCATTTCTCAGTTTCATGTGGTGGAGAATCAAGCTACCCCCATTGACTAGATACAGCCCCAGGCAGGCAGAGCTATCTATCAGAAGACTCAGTCTGGGGCCACAAAAGCCAGAGCTCACAACCCAGAGCATATGGGGTGACAGGTGCCAGCACTGTTTGGCCATTAACTATTCCTTTCATGTAAGTTTCAGTCTGTAGGTTCGTTATGCATTCCCTGCCAGGACTCCTCCGAGGTTAGGAGCATGGAGGAAAAGGCAAGCAGGAATGTGCCTGACCGTATGCTTAGCCTTCACCTCTGAATCTGACCATTTGCTTGATAACTGCTCAGAACAGAAGGTGATGCAAACTCACTGTTTCTTGAGGCATGTCATTGGACTGACGTTGTTGGCCCTGAAGTTGTGTATGATTGATCTCAGGCCTTCTACCCATTGCTGGAAGAGAAAAAAAAAAAGTTCTTGGTGAGCATTCGGCAGGAGCCAAATATGGTGTGCTTTAATTAGATAGCCTGTTTCCATTTTGTGTAATAAAAACATAGACTCTTCTTCCATCTCCTTCCTGCCACACAGCCATCTACATTTTGCATGCTCATATTTTATCCTTTAACAAACAGCTTTCATTCTTTCCATGAACATAAACATGGCATCTATAGTGCCATTAAACACTGGGTTGCCACAAAGGAATGCTACCCACTGATTGACTTATTAAGCTTTCTATTTGCAGCCTTTTTATTTATTTCACTTATTTACTTTTTGGCAGCTGGCCAGTAAAGGCATCCAAACCTTCAACCTTGATGTTGCGACACTGCACTCTAACCAACTGAGGTAACCAGCCAGCCCCATTTGCAGCCTTTTAAAAATATAAGCCCTTTTTCAGTTGCTGGCAAACTTAGTTATTTCTAGGCAACATTATACAATACATGATGACATATTTGGGTTTAGAGGATAATGCACTCATTAATTTTCATTAATTTTATGGTGTGATTCCTTCAATTTAAGCGTTTGTTACATATCTTACTTGCCTGTGTTTTCCAGCAAAGCCTTAAAAAGTAAAACATTCCTTGATTGCCAAGGTACACAAACAGCAATGGGCTCACATAATTTCTTTGTAATAACTTGGACCTCAGTTGTAGTTCATACCATCACTCCATGGATTTACAAGGAAAAGTGAAGAACGACTGTATATGGCAGTAAAGGAATTTTGGTTGCTAAAAGGGCATTTTATTAGAAAAAGCTAGTCCATAAGTTAAGACCAATTCTGTCCTAGGGTCCAACAACTGATGCCAATGAATCCATAAAAGAATCACACCCTTTGCAAAATGCTTTGTAGCAAACTGATACCGTGGGTTAAACAAAACTATGGCTCACACATAAGCTGATTCCATATCTTCTTAGGTTAACAGCCTGACTGCTTAGGTTTAGGGCTAAGTGCTTTTGGAAGGGAAAATATTTGGAGGATAGTAATATAGATGTAAACTCTACCTTCACTGTCCAGTATGGCAGCCACTAGCCACATATGGCTATTTAAATTTAGATTGAACAAATATAAAATTCAGTATCTCAGTTGCACTAGTCACACTGAAAGGAAACTTAGCCAGAGAACAGCCATCTTTGGGGTAACTAGGACCAAGCAGAAAATTTTAGTTAGCCATTAACTTGGGAACTGATAATCATCAATTCCTTGAGGTTAGCAGAGGAATTGAGAAATTGACCATATGACTGAAACTGCCCGGAGATGAAATCATGCCCCAAAAGGATCCTTCTCAAAAGTTTATTTCTGTTTTTCTCCCATTACACCCTCTTAGGCTGATTTACTTTAGATGTTGTGCACCTATAATTAAGGATTGAAACTAAGTTTTCTTGTTGTGTTTTTTTTAACCTCTCCAATCAACTGCAAATAAAGGAAATCCAAAAGAAAGGCAAAACACCCTAGCCAATTATTAACTCACCTTCTTGCTTAAAGGATAATTGCATCCACATTACTTAGAGGTACAAGTCAGGTATCTTTATGTTCCAGTGATGCTTTACTAAGGTTATTGTCTCTGAGTTCTCCCTAGGAGATAAGGATTCCAACCCCGAAAAACCATCAAGCGCTTGAAGCTGACCAGTCCACCAACTACAGACTCCATGATACCAAAGTACCCATTGTCCATCACGGGACCCTCATATCTGACTCAGGGTCCTCTGATAATCCCATGTCCAGCCTCCCGTATTTCCTGCAGAACAAAACCCTTACCTCACCTTCCCACCTCTTCCTCTTTATAAATCCCAAAACAGATATCAGAAGGTATGAAGACTTTAGCCTGGTCATCCCCCAGATGCTGGTTATCTGAATAAACCTTCCAATCCTTGTACCAACTTTTGGACTTTCTAGTCATTTGGTCAGTGTGAGAGGGCAAGCCAAACCTGGCTGCTGGTAACAACATTTCAAGTACTCAAAAGCCAGCATGGGGCTGATGGCTACCATACTGGATGGTGCACATAGAAAACATGTCCATCATCACAGAAGGTTCTATCAGACAGCACTACACAGCATTACCAGGTGTAACACCATCAAGCAATTTAATCCCTGCAAGGGCCAGAGGTGATGACTGAGTTCCAGCAGAGTATGTTTTTGTTTTTGTTTTGTTTTGTATTTTTGCTATGCAATATTTCTTCTAATTTTAATAGTGGTAAAATAAACATAACATAAAAGTTACCATCTAAAACATTTTTAAGTGAAGAATTCATTGGCATTAAGTACATTCAGATGGTTGTGCAACTATTATGGTCATTCATCTTGCAGAACTCAAACTCTACACTTTAAACAATAACTCCCCGTTCCTCCCTCCCCTCAGCTCTTGGTAACCACCATTCTGCTTTCTGTCTATGATTTTGACTATTTCTAGGTGCCCCTAGAAAGTGAAATCATACAGGTTTTGTCCTTTTGTAATTGACTTAATTCTCTTAGCATAATATACTCAGGGTTCATCCATGTTGCAGCCCGTACGAAATTTCCCTGCTTTTAAAAGGCTGAACAATATTCCATTATATGTGCATACCAAATTTTGTTTATCCATTCATCTCGCCATGGACCTTTGGGTTGCTTCCACTCCTTGGCTATTGTGAATAATGCTGCTATGAACACTGGTGTAAAAATATCTTCTGTCTTCAATCCTCTTGGATAAATACCCAGAAGTGAAATTAGTGGATCATTTGGTAATTCTCTTTTTAATTTTTTGAGGAACCACCATTCTGTTTTCCATGATGTCTGTACCATTTTGTATTCTCACCTATAAAAGGGGGTTCCAATTTTCCAAATCCTCACCAACACGTGCTATTTTCTGGGGTTTTTGTTTTGTTTTGTTTTATTTTTATAGCAGAGTTTTTTTTTTTTTTT